CCTGCCGCGGAGAGCCTGCTGAGCCACGACTTCGAGCGGCTTGGGCGGCTGCAGTGCAAGGGCGGCCTCAACTTGGAGCGGGCCAAGGAAGGCTGGTTTGCCTTGGAGCAGTCGACGCTCTACACCTTTCTGGAAGGGAGCGAGAAGGAGGAGGCCGTTCACCTGAGGAAGCTGCAGGAGCTCTGTGGGTGGCTTCGTTTCTTCGCTTCCCTCTCACCTGGGACTGGGGACACCTGCCTCAAAAAAACAGAATCCCAAACTATAAATTCCTGTTGTATCCCCTGGGCAGGGTACCCACGTTTTGGTGGTGGTTGTTGCCCTTCTACTGTGTCCGTGTCTAGCTAGCCCAGGGTGGTCGACTCTAGGAGCAGACCCTTGCCCATCTCTGCGCCGTGTAGAGACCATCTCATACAGGCCCAGCCCCAAAATATTTTTCTTATACAGTGGTGCCTCGCTTGACAACATTAATTCGTTCCATCGAAATCGCTGTAGAGCAAAAATGTCGTCAAACAAAATTAAAAAACCCATTGAAACGCATTGAAAACCGTTCAATGCGTTCCAATGGGCTGAATACCTGCTCGTCCAGCAAAGATCCTCCATACGGCGGCCATTTTCTGGTGCCTGTAATGCGAGGAATCCGTCCTAGAAAACAGCAGGGGGGCATTTTCTTCAGCTGGTGGCCATTTTGAAACCCAACAATCAGCTGCTTGCTGATCGTCGTAAAGCGAATATTGGTTCCCGAAGCAAGGAACCGATCATCGCACAGCAAAATAAATAAATAAATAAATAAAATATCATTTTGCAATTGCAAAAGCAATTGCAAAAATGTCAACGTAAAGCGGATTCCTCGTAGAGCGGGGTAATCGTCCAGCAGGGCATGACTGTACTGTAAAAAGAACTTTGTAACTGAAAAAGCACCCTCACGCGCTCTAGTATATACAAATTCTAGGTGTGGGGACGACCCATTGCAATATTGCCTATTATTGGGCCCTTTTTTGTACATTTAAAAGGAAGGGAGCCTCCCCAAAATAAACAGTCACAGTCATTGCTTCCTCTGACACCTGTGTAAAAAGGATTCCCACTGGTTAATCACCTAAAGCGGATGGACTGATTTGACCGCGAAGGCTGCCGTCCTGTACATCTTTTAAGTCACCTTGCTTCTTCCGATACTAATGCCGATGCTTGCTTTGCAGCCATCCAAGGTGAGAATGAAGTCCTGGTGCTTGTAGAAAGGAGAAGGTAAGCAGCTTTTGAGGACGAAGGGGTAAAAATGGGTGTAATAGAGATCTCCCCCCCTCCCCAAATGGACCCCTTTTCTATATCCTTTCCTGTTTACTTGTTGGTTTGTATCCAATCAAGGTGGCTTAGAAAGCACACCAAAATAATAACGGCGTACAGTAAGACCCCCACTATCAGTTCCAACCCCCCTCTTCCCCCGTGGATGCTGAAAAATGTGGTTTATAGCAAACACAATAGTGACCACTACGCACAGCATAGTCTCTGGTTCCCTCTAAAGGCCAGTTCTGAAAATGATAAGAAAAAAATATATATAGTTCTCTAGGGAATGCTATACCTACCATGATCTCTGGTTCCCTCTTGTGTCCACTTCTGGTAACTTCATCATTAAAAATATACCATATTTTTCCATGTATAAGATGCCCCCATGTATAAGACACCCCCACTTTTATAACCCAAAATTAAGAAATCTAAGTGGGGCTTAGCAAGTGGAGGGGAAAGCGGGGATCAAAGCCCTGCAGGATCACTTTGATCCCTGCTTTCCCCTCCACTTATTTTTGTTCTCTCCTCAGCTTACTTCTGTGTATAAGATGACCCTCATTTTTAGTCTAAAGACTTTAGACAAAAGTATAGTCTTATACACATATGTGAATTGTAGATTTAAAAATTTTTCCTTTAATATTTTCAGACTGTGGATATGTGAATCAGTGGATGCCAGTCTTACTCTACAGTCCTACTGTAGTTTCATGGTTAAAATTTCCTGTGTAACAGCAGCCGTCTCTTTAAATTCAACTTGTGGTTAATTTGTAGGTCACGGAAATCTTAACATTTTCTTTTTTGAAGTTGGAACGCTATCTCTAAAGGAAATAATCAGAGCCGGCATGGGCTGAAACTGCAAGGGGGTGGGGTGGGGGGTTCCGTAGGCCTGCTTTTGCCACTTCTTCTCTTGGTTGCCAGCCTCACCACCTCTGTAGAGGCAGAGAAGAAGAAGACAGGAATAGCATCGTAGACTCATAGAAAAGTGAAGCTGGAAGGGGGCTCTGTGAGGCCATCCAGTCCAGCCCCCTACTATCCAAGCAGGGGATGATCCAAGTTGTTCCTGAGGGCCTCCAGTGGCATCCTAGCCATGCTAGGTCAGGCCAAAGCCCAGGTCTTCTCTCTCTGGAGTGGACTCTTCCTTGCTCTGAACCACAACATTGGCTTCTTTACTATCCAAGCAGATCTGCCAGGGGATGATCCAAGTTGTTCCTGAGGGCCTCCAGTGGCATCCTAGCCATGCTAGGTCAGGCCAAAGCCCAGGTCTTCTCTCTCTGGAGTGGACTCTTCCTTGCTCTGAACCACAACATTGGCTTCTGAGGCTAGCTGGAATCCTCTTCTCCTTGAGAGATGCCCGCCTCCCACCGTCACCACCCCAGGAAATAAAGGGCTTAATTTAAGTCAC